GAAACTGTTGTATTATTTGGCCCAAGGAAGCCCGGCCCAAATTCCCGTATTATTTTGAGCTCTAAATACTCTTCTCTTCTTTCCCTGACCAATTCTTACACTCATTTTCTCTCTCTCTCTCTGCGGCTGCTGAAGCCTGAAGCTATTCTCTCTAGACTGAAAACCTATCTCTATCTCAGGAAAACCCGATTGGTCTCTCACTCTCTCACTCTGTTCTTCGTCACCTTCGAGTGCTTCGTCTGCCGAGAGCTAGCCTTCGTGCCACCGCGCCGTCGACGTCGCCTAGCTTCCCCTCGCCGGATATAGCCCATGCGCGGTGCTTTCCGGCGAGCCTCTGTGTAAAGGTGAGGCTTTGCGACGGCCACATAACATAAACATTTTAAATATGTGCAAGTTGCAGTTTTTTTTGCGCATCTTTAATAGAATCAACTTGACACCGTTGTCTTTATTATCTGCAGATCTCCCTGAAACTTTTGTACTGCAAACTACGTAATAGTAAGTTATTCTCCCAATATAACTCTGTTTTAATGTTTACAATTTCGAATAATACATGCAAATGTAGGGTTAAGTGTACATTCATGATTCTGTAGCTTTGCTAAGAATTTATTTTCTAGAGCTATGATTGAAAATTTTGGAAAAATCGTGTCGGTAGAATTTTTTGTTGGGGTTTTAAATTGTCAAATGCATTATTCTTGATGGCCTGGCTGTTTGGGGTAGCTTCCTTGCATTAATAGTAGAACTTACATATAAACTCGAAAGACTTTGAGATCTTTAGTACTACTTTTTGTTTTTTCTAACATTCTTGAGCATATTCAACTATGTAGCATGTTATGTGATCATGCCATGGTAAAAATAATGATCATGCCATGGTAAAAATAATGGTATAGATAGGGATGAGATTACTTGTCTGTATTATTTGGATAGAAGTGAAAAGCTTTTAAGTGAAAAGAAATTTCACGCGTTTACTTTCCCTTTTCTTTTAATTAACTGTTCTTTGTAGAACTTTCTGATCTAACACATTGTTTGTTCAGTTACTTTCCTACGAGCAGCTTCGTCAAGTGGTTAGTGCCATGCGGAGAGGTGTCCA